GCACTCTTTCTTTTACAACTAGGAACTTTCCATGGCTTGACGAAAGTTGATTGTATCATCTTTCGACATTCCATTTTCTACCTCATGTTCCTGGAGATATACAATATAATCATCTGAAAATGCAAATCTCCTTTCTCTGGTGGATCGCCTTAATGGCACAGATTCTTGAGGTTGTAGAGTTTGTTCCTCAGGAACAATTACCTCATCTTGAATGGAGGTTTAAACTATATTATCTTGAACAACATTGTTTGGTTGAGGATTCGAAATTACTTCTCGAGCAATGACAGGTATAGGAACCTGTGATTGGTCAAAAGTAGTAGTAGTAAGTGGGATTACTCCTGCTTCCTCCTCAAAGACAATGTCTCTAACTGGATTTCTCCCCCCAAACTCAACATCCTCAAAAAATGTTGCAATTCCCGTCTCAAATATTGACCTATTTGTGGGATCATAAAACTTGTAACCCCGTGATCGTTCGGCATAGCCAATAAAGTAGCTGCTAATGGTTTTAGAGTCCAATTTTCGTTCATGAGGTTTATAAGGCCTCGCCTCAACAGGATAACCTTTTAAACAATTATGCTCACATTAAGTTACCAAACAGATAATCTCTAAATAAATTAATTTAATGACAACATCTCAAGATACCTAGCACAACATTAATACCAAGCCTTTGGGCAGTGATATTAACTGTAAATGGTATTCTTGTTGTAATGATCAAACATTGACAATAAGTTATGTCAAATAACAAATCTATCTTTGGATGGATTTATTATTCACATTAGGTTTTCTTGACAATTGGCACATGTTTATCACCACAAAATGTGTGTGTAATTCTGCCAAATCTTAATCATGTCTTTGGACCGATAAATACCCGCATGAACAATAAATCTACCTATTACGTAAGTCTCTCGTTTACTTTTTAACAAAGCCTTTGTTTGGCATATGAGTTTTTTGGGATTTTTTTAGTCATAAAAATATAAAATAGATTAAAAAGTTAATAAGATAAAATGTCACATCTAAATCCTAACCATTTAATTTTTTCTCACAAAAGTCAAAAAAATAAAAAATAAAAACATATATAAAACGAGGTTTTTTAGCCTCACAATAAAGGGTGTTTTAGGAAGATGATTAACAGTTATTTTTTGATTTTTTTTTTTACTTTTTTGTGAGACACTTCTCAAAATAGCTAAAAAAATAAAAAAAGTCAACCCATATATCAAATGAAGCCAAAATATGTTCGGCACATAATTTATTTATTTATCGCCACCCGCCACCGTCACCCACCCACCCGCCACCAACCCAACACCACCACCAGCAGCTACCCACCACCTACCGTCTTTCGCCGCCACTTGCCATCATCGTCTTTCGCCGCCACTTGCCACTACTTGTCATTTTTCACTTTTTTTTTATATTTTTTAAATTTTGTAAACATTTTGTCAATTACCAAACGCGTTTATAGTTTATGTTTTTCTAAAAATAAACAAAAAATAAACAAAAACCAGTTTATAAAATTTTTGTAAATATAAACTGAAAACGTAATTTGATAATTTGTAGCAAATAAACAAATTGTTTTTTTAGTTTGTCTCCAAACCAAGCCTTAAGGGTTGTTTGAAGATGATTTAAATAAAAGTACTTATTTGAGTCAAATTACTTCTTTATTTTTTTACATTTTTTTTTGTTGTAAAAAATCAAATAATACACAATAAGGTGATTCTACCTACATTACTATTTAACCTCTTTACACCACAAAAAAAAAAATGTAATTCTCATTACACTCTCAATATATTACCAAAACTAACCATAAATTAACTATTTCATCTATTTACACAATTAATTTTGGTAATACGATGCTAAATAACTTACATTATTCTGGTGTTATGCTGTCGAAAAAAATAGATCTCTCCAGCATTTTGTTGCTATACATTTAAAGAGACACTTTTTTCCAAACAATAATTTTTTAATTTGTGGTGGGTTTGTTCGGTAATACAACGCTAATTAATTTGAATTACTCTAGTGCCATGTTACCGAACAATATTTTTTTTCCTAGCATTATGTTGCTGTCCAGTTAGATGATAACAAGAAATTAATTTGGGCCACTTGTGAAGTGCATGTTCAGTGATACATTATTATACAAATGAGATTACTTTAGTGTCATGTTGCCAAGCTACAATAGAGTTGTCTAGGGCCTTGTCGCTGTATATTAAAAGATTTACTTTTCCCTTGAAGCATTCATAAAAAAATTCATAAATCAATCACGCATTCATAAAATCATACATAAAGAGTATTCATAAAAAATCAAGTGTACGAATATTCATAAAGTATCCATAAAATCAGTCATTGTTTGTATCTATCAATCAAACATATTATTACAATCTGTCTTAGTAATTTATAAGTAATTTTTTTTCCCTTAATAGAAATAGATATCCACACTTTTTAGAACTTGTCAACCTCAATCGTTCCTCCTTAATCTACATGTTGTCTTTATAGTAACAATTTCTTTTACAAGCAAGTGCAAGTCTTGATTTTCTGCCATTACCTCCTGCATCTAATGTCTCTATAACAATGACAAATCCAATCTTCTTTTCAACGTTATAAGCCCATTTAATTAATGCTTCATGACTACTAAAAAACTAAAGATAATAAATACATTTACACATCAAATTATTAATAAAACTCAATACAAATTAAAAATAAGAAAAAATCGCATTCATAAAAAAAACTTAATAAACCTTGTCTGTAATGAATTCATGACTAGAGTCCATTAATATTGCAGTACTTGCTAATGAGTATAAGTATAATTCTTCCAGGTAAAAAAAATAAAAAATATAACAAAATAAAACTGAAAATACATGGAAATGAGAAGCCGAACAAATTAAAAAAAAAAAATCGGTTTGGTGCTACTGGAAATGTATCTTTTATTTGGTAGTTGGCTACAAAACTTATATTTTTTGTTCGACAATATGATGCCGAACTATTTTATTTTGTTCAATTTCTAACTACCGAACGAAAGTCAAACACCAGTCTAGAAAAACGAAACAAAAACCTACCAAATAAATAAAAAAACTCATTATTTTCACTTTTTTTATGATTCTTTGTCACCATTTCTTCATCCATTACTTTATTTACTGATCAAAGTACTATGATTCTCACTTTTTGAAAAGAAATGTGTAATAGAAAAGAAAAATTAAGAAAGGAAAAAGAAGAGTAGGGATTAAAGGTAATTTCACATATGGATAAAATTGGGAAAAAAAAAACTCATATAAAAAGTATAAAGAAATAAAGTAGTAGTGTGAGTAGAATCAACCATTCCAAATAACTTCTAAAAAGTTACTAAAAGTTTGTGCAACTATTAATTTTAAAGCCCTAAAAGAAAAATACTTGAGACTCCTATTTTTTAGAGACTCCTACAAGTTTTTTTGAATCTCCATCATTAATGTATATATGAGATTCATTCATATATGAGTGGAGCTTGTACTATTATTGGTGGAGATATAAAAAGAGTTGTGAAGATCTTAAAAAAAAAAAAAAAGGTTTCAATCATCGTTGGTCCTAAAAATAGTCTAGGTGTATACAATAACTGATAAAATCATATATTAAAAAATAAAAATAAAATTGATTTGTATAAATCAATTACTACATTTAAAGTGGAACAGCACTGCCCAATGTCATCCAGTCTTCCATTCGTAACAAAAATCAATTATATAAATCAGATATATGGGTGTGGTTGGCATGTGAATTGACTTTGTAATTTTTTAATTTTTTTTAGTTTGAAATTTAAAAATTTTATTTGGGATAAATTTTTTGATTTTTAAATTTTGTAAGAAAAAAATGAAATAATTATAATTTAGATGTAACGTTTTATTTTATTAATTTTTTAACATATTTTATATTTTTATATTAAAATAATTAAAAAAGTTCAAAAATTTAGCATGCCAAAACCTTTTTCTATGGAATGAGAAATTCACATCTTACGAGATTGGTCTGATTTTATGATAATTTTGGTGCAAACTTTTCACACCCAATAACTTCTCGGATGTTAATAGCGTGCGATTTGCGATTCTTGATCACGTGGCTTTGCGCTGTGTTTCATACCATTTTCTACCTTATTCCACGGCACCTATATAAAAATGTTTTTGAAATATTTTATGTGTTCGTATTTTTAATATAAAAATGTTTTTGAAATATTATATGTGTTCGTATTTTTAATATAAAAATGTTTTTGAAATATTGGTCTTATTTGGTAAGTCTTATTTTTAGTTTATTTCAGTTTTTAATTTAATTTAAGCTATTTTGATATGTATGGTTCAGCTTAACAATACAATTTATAGCTTTTTATAAGTCAAAAATCAATTTATTCTTTGAGTGGGGAAGGAGAAGCTTAATTTATAAGTCAAAAATCAACTTATGTTCATAGTTATAAGTTATAAACTCTTAGGCTATAAATTGTAATCACTTTCCCACAGTTCTACCAAACGGGGCAATGACTTGAACACCATGAAAGTTGGTCATCTCTTTCCCACTTGTGGTCAATGACAATGTGGGACACTATATAAATAAATAAACTCAATAACCATATTTTTTTTTTTAACACCAAACTCAACAACCAATGTGAGGCTATTGGCAGCCTTGCCTTGTGAGAACACTTTTTTGTGTTGGAGTGGCAACATCAAGCATAAATGTTTTTTTGGTGAATGACAAACCACACCACAATATATAAAAATTTTAAAAATCAAATATTTTGATTTTTGAAAGTAAAAATTTTATTACAAAAAATATTTAGAAATTAATTTCTATAAAGTGACCCCAAAGTTTCCATCTCACCACCACCAGTCACCACTACTCCTAACCGTCTGTATCTCTATGTATGTATGTGTGGCATTGGTATCGTGTTATTTGCAGTGAATACCAAGGAAAATGATAGTGGTTGTTGTTGGCCTTGCAGACACACACACACACACTCTGTCTCTCTCTCTCTCTCTCTCTCTCTCTCTCTCTCTACACTACTACTGTCCCTCTATTCCCTCAACTACCCTTTTCTCTCTCTATAATTCCTCTCCCTTTCTCTCTCTACATTGTCTGAAACTCTGTCTCTCTCTCTCTCTCTCTCTCTCATTTCCTTTCCTTTCCTGTTACTGCATCGCTTTCCCTCACCTGAAAATTCCTATAATTCTCTGTAAAAATTGGTCTCTCTCTCACTAACTAACTGTTTCCACATTATCTCTCTCTCTCTCTGTCGCCATAACTGTTGTTTCTACCTTGTGCTTCTCTTCCCATGGAAGCCTCCGCGACGGAGGATTGCTGCGTAAAAGTCGCTGTTCACATCCGGCCACTCATCAACGATGAGAGGCTTCAAGGTTGTGCAGATTGTGTCACTGTCGTCTCTGGAAAGCCTCAGGTACTCTCTCTCTCTCTCTCTCTCAAATGTCAATGTGATTGTCAGAGTTTTAGAGCTTCTGTGCGTGCTTGTTCTTAATTTACTTTTTAGGATCGTCATTTCTGTGAGAAAGGAAAAAAAGAAAAAAGAAAAAAAAAAAAAAGCGACGAGCTGTTCGAGATCTAGATCTCCTAGATGCTTTGCTTGAGTTTTACGATTTTGTTTTCTTTTATTGACAAATCCTGGATTCATGCATGTTTGACTCAAAACTAGTAGTGTTCTCATTATTTTTTTTTTTAATTATTAGCATTATTATTTTTTAAAATCTGAATTTTAACCATTTTCCGATGCTTCTGTGATTGAGCTGCCCAAAGTTTCAGCTTAATTCTGTCATTTTCTTTTATTGACAAATCCTGGATTCATGCATGTTTGACTCAAAACTAGTAGTGTTCTCATTATTTTTTTTTTTAATTATTAGCATTATTATTTTTTAAAATCTGAATTTTAACCATTTTCCGATGCTTCTGTGATTGAGCTGTCAAAAGTTTCAGCTTAATTCTGTCAAATTGAAGAGGTTCTAGCCACTTTTTATTTTATTTTATTTTTAAAACAGTGCCAATTTTACAATTTTTGACTTTTCTATTCTATTATATATATTTATATTTATATGTCGGTGTCTCTGTAGTGGTCTTTAGGTAAATAAAAAAAGAGAGCATCAACTGGTTTGTAGATTACCTTTTGTAATTTGCTGTGCTGAATTTATCAGTTCAGGGTTTTGACTGATTAGGCCAAACGGGGTCATTAGTTTAAGGAAGGAACATTGTATCTCTTCGACATTGAACCCGTAGGTTTGTGTCTTTTATGTTCTTTGCGTAATTTGGATCAGATTTGCAATTTTTTTATTGTTCTATCTTGTTTTTTATTTGGCAATAACAAGCAAACATGCCATATTATGATAGTTTCTGGCAATGTTATTCCTCTATATAATTGTAATTTACAGCTACTTTATTCATTTTTTGGGGCGGTACATTACTGTCTTCAGCTAATTGGTTCTTGCTTTTTGTATTTATTTAGTTTATTTTTATAACTGGCTGTCCGGCCAGCTTGCCCATATTTCATTGATCTCGGACCTCATTTCATTGATCTCGAACTTGAAGTTAATAACCGGGCAAACCCTTAGGGTGACTTCAACTTGAGATCTCTTATTTTTATTGGTTTTATATGACTGCTCTGTTATGCAATGTTCTCATTCAACTTTGATACCTGGGAGCAATTTATATTTTACATTGCCATGTCAGCTTGCACTAGTTACGCAGTCAAAGAGCTTGCAATTGGTCAGGAAACTTAAACCATTGAAAAATAATTAGAAGGTCCGAATTTAAACCGTAGTATGCTGCTTTCAAACTTGCCTAGTAATACAAACACATGTGAAAGCTGATTAGAAGACTATTATGTACACAATTTTTCGTAGTTTCATGTCTTGTTATACATAAGATGAGCTAGTTTTCTTTACCAAATACCTATTCCAAGTCCTTAGTATTATGGTTATTTGTTTACTTTGCATACCTTGTATAAAGTGATGAACTCCTGATGACCAGAAATAAATATAAATAAGAACTATTTAACAAGTAGCAATAGAAACAACAATAGTGGGAAAGCTACAATAATGACAACTAAATAGATTGAAGAAACCAAAACTATGTTTTCAACTTCTCCATTGTAGACATCGTACAAGTATTATTGCTTCTTACATAATTAATATAATACTCAGTCGTCTTGCCATTATTTACTTATATATTTTTGTGAGGCAATCATATGACCTTTTTGGGTTAATGTTGCTTGTTACTATATTGCAGGTGCAAATTGGCACACATTCGTTTACTTTCGATCATGTCTATGGGAGTACTGGTTCTCCCCCATCAGCCATGTTCGAAGAGTGTGTTGCTCCACTTGTTGACGGTTTGTTCCAGGGATATAATGCTACTGTTCTTGCTTATGGTCAGGTAAAGGCTGTTATTATTTATGTGGAAGTGTTTTTTTTGCCCTCTGTATTGCAGCTCAATTTCCTCACAATTTGTAAAACTTGACCTTTTAATGTGCTGCAGACGGGTTCAGGGAAAACATATACAATGGGTACTAGCTTCAAAGATGGTAGCCAAACCGGATTGATTCCTCAAGTTATGAATGCTTTGTTCAGCAAGATTGAAGCTTTAAAGCATCAAACTGAATTCCAATTGCATGTTTCCTTCATTGAGGTTGATTTGTTTATTCTTCTTGTTTTTGCATGTGTATACATACCAAACATATTCCTTGATTCATGTACTATGTTACTCTTGGCATATTACTTGCAGCTATTGGTATTTTGGTTGAAAAATCATGTTGTCATTAAAGAAAGTTAACAATAATTGTACTAGTAGTAATAGTACTTTGTGTTGCTGTATTTGTTCACCAAACTTCACTGCCTTGAGATCTGCTGTTCAATTTCCCATAGCAAGTGTGTAACTGGATTTTTTTTATGTGAAGATCCTAAAAGAAGAAGTACGAGACTTGCTGGATCACACGGCTGTGCATAAATCAGAAACTACAAATGGGCATGTGGGAAAAGTAACTGTTCCTGGGAAACCACCAATTCAAATTCGTGAGACATCAAATGGTGTTATTACATTGGCAGGATCTACTGAAGTCAGTGTGAGAACGCTAAAAGAAATGGCTTGCTACCTGGAGCAAGGATCTTTGAACAGGGCGACAGGGAGTACAAACATGAATAATCAATCAAGGTCAACCTCACATTTCTATATTTCATTTATATTACCTCACAGAAAGATAGGTTCTGTGAGGATGTCGTTTTTCATTATCTAGGTGTATGAAGAAGTAGCCATTGTATTTTAAAGTTCTATTCTTTAAACTTGGAGAATTAGAGAATTTATACAGCTGTCTATTGCACTGATTCAAATTTCGAAGTTACGTTTTATGTGTCATGTGCTCATTGGTTGATGATCTTGGCCTCCCTTGAGTGTCAATGAACTGGCTGGGTGTGGTGGAATAATCATTTACCAATGGGTTCTTATCTAACAGTAGAGTTTTTAAGGGTGCCGTCACGCTTATATGCTTAATATTACTTTAGTACGTAGGCGATGTGGGACTTTGCTTCACAATCTGCTGTTAAATTTTCAGTAGTTACAAGTGGCTAAAATTATTGCTTTTATCATTTTGTTTGTTTGTTTGTTTATGCAGTCGTTCACATGCCATCTTCACCATCACATTAGAGCAAATGCGGAAGTTCAATCCAGCTTTTCCTGGTGATAGCAATCTTAACGACAGTATGAGTGAAGAATATCTATGTGCCAAATTGCATTTAGTGGATCTTGCAGGATCTGAGCGAGCCAAAAGAACTGGTTCTGATGGTCTGCGTTTTAAGGAAGGTGAGGAATTTGTTTGCCAGTTTTTGCATTTAAAGGCACTTTTGGTCATAAAAGAGTTGTGTAATATGCTATTGCTTTGAACAGGAGTTCACATCAACAAGGGCCTTCTGGCACTCGGTAATGTTATCAGCGCACTTGGTGATGAAAAGAAGCGGAAGGAAGGTGTCCATGTTCCATATCGAGACAGTAAACTTACTAGGCTTTTGCAGGTTCCACACACTTTCTCTTTAATGATTTCATTATTTTAATTTTCTTTCTGATTTGCTTAGAAGATTTTCAGTCTCCACTAGAGTGAATTTTTTCCCTCAATGCCCTTTTATAAAATTTCTGTTGATAGATATACAGAAAAATATTTGACCTTTTAGTAGAAACCAAAGGGGGAAACAACTTATTATCCAGTATGATTAAAGAGATAAATATTACTAATTAAACTGTTAATAACAAATCGTGTCCTTGTTGGTTTGTTGAGTGACTAAACCTTTTGGTGTACACTATGTCTCACAGCATGTGAAGGCATCGTCCTTTTAAATTACAACTTTGTGTCTTTGACATAACCATTATCCTTTTTAGCATATCTAAAATGATGCAACTAAACACCACTCATCAAGAAAACCACAAAGCTAAATAATTCACTACTTCAAATGTCAAATGTCATGGGATGGAGTATGTTCAAGATTAATAGGTGGTGTTTAATTAATTGAAGTAGAGATGGAAATCACCAAACAAAGTTGAATTCACATAATATGGTTGCCATGGATCACTTTGCTAGGATTTTATGCTAGCTATGAAAATTAGATTATTAAACATTCTAATAAGCACAATAACAGTAGGATTTCACAATGAATCACTTGATAGAATAAACATAAAATTGCATGTCTGGTACCATAGAGCTTATCTTTCTGTATACCTTGAGGCTGATTAAGGCAGGTTCTTGAGATGGACTCATCAGTTTCACCAGATAACTGTTGAATATATCTTGTTTTTGAAACTTGGTTGCAGAAATTGATGTGATTGTAGTAACCCCAAGGGGTTGGCCTGGTGGCAAGGCCTTGGGTTTTGGGGGTGTGCTCTGTCCAAGGTTTAGGGATCGAAACCTTTTAGGTGCTAACAATTCCTTGCGGTCATCGGACTACGAGAAAACCCTTGAATTAACCGTGGTGCACTTGTGGGAAACTCCTTATTGAGGGCCTATGCACCCCTGGGGATTAGTCGGGCTTTGATCCGGACACCCAGTGCCGATCAAAAAAATAAAAAAAAATTGACTTGATTGTTGTAAGAATTGGTCATTATTAACGAAGAGGGTGTAACCGTGCCTAAATGGCTTTGGATCAATTGTTCCTTAGTCATCTTCTCCTTATCTGTTAGTCTGTTTGTTTGCTTGTTTATTTTTAAAATTTGTCTTAAGTTTTGGCATTTTGGCAGGATTCCCTTGGTGGTAACAGCAGAACTGTCATGATAGGTAAGTTTTTCATTTTGTTTCTTTGAACTTGAATCTGCTTTTGCGCAGCATGAGATGTTAACCATGGCAATAGTATAAAGCTGTCCCACTTATGCGTCATTTGTTTGTTGCTTCCCTAGTTTTCTTTATAAAACATTCTTGTGTTTCAAATTTCTTTTCGTTTCTAAATGTTGTCCTGACTTTGTAAATTCTTGTTTGAACATAGTAGAACTATCCTCATGCTAAGATGTTACTTAATTAGTTTTTTGATGGATGACTTAATCACAGTGTTTAAAGTGAGAAGTTAATGTCATGATGGAGTTTCTAAGCTGCATATTTATTTACATCTAATTTTTGTGTTCTATATGTCCTATTCCCAAGTTGCTCCTCTCTGTAGTTGACCACGTTTTCTGCTCTTTTCCTTCACTCAACTACTCTCTCAGATGGGTTCTTTCTGGAAGACAGTTGAATTTTCTTTAGTATATTTCCTGACAGGTTACAAAGTAAGCATGCATGTTTAGCGTTCTTTGACATTGTTCACACACAAGTAATCAATACCTCCAATTTTTAGTATTCAAACCTTCTGGCATTTTCTTTTGTTTTCTAGTCCTCATGTGCACTCACTCAGATGCATTTTGCATCTGGTTAAAACCAGGGTAATTCGTTTGTGCAAATGTATAATTGCATATTGTGAGATGTGATACTTGAGATAACCTGTTTGTCTTGTGTCTTTTGTGTTTCTTATGCACTTCAATTAATATTTTTTCTTTTCTTAGAATTATTAAATACATAATGATGTTATGACTAATACCTGGAAGTTTTTTATTTTTAGTTTTTTTAATTGGCTTTTATGATGCTTATTAAATTACTTATTTTCCAGCCTGCATTAGTCCTGCTGATATAAATGCTGAGGAAACTCTTAACACGCTAAAGTATGCAAATCGTGCTCGCAACATCCAGAATAAGCCTGTTGTAAGTTTTATGAACCCCCTACGTTTCCTTTTTCCTTTTTCCTTTTTACCGCATTCAGGTAGAGTTTCTTTGCCTTGCATTGTAGAGAGTTGTTTAACCAAGGATTTTGTTAATGGTTGAGCAGGTCAACAGAGATCCATTATCCAATGAGATGTTGAAGATGCGCCAACAATTGGAATTCTTGCAGGCAGAACTTTGTGCACGCGGGGGAGGAGCTTCATCTGATGAAATACAGGTACTTCTATTATTTGAACCTATGTCTTTGTTGATTGCTATATTAAATTCTCGGTCATTCTTAATTTTGTTCCCCTGTGGAGGGAGTTTGTATTGGATTATTTACAAAGCAAAAGCTAGTAGTGATTCTTTTTTCTCTTTAGGTTCTAAAGGAAAGGATTGCATGGCTTGAGGCTACTAATGAGGATCTTTGTCGGGAACTTCATGAATATCGCAGCAGACGTGCTGTAACAGAGCAATGTGAAACAGATGTGCATGTGATATATCTGGACTTATAATATACTTTATTTCTTATTCTTTTTTTTTTCTATATATATTTTGAAATGGATTTTTTAAAAATAAGAGTGGATTAAGTGTATTAGTTTGAATGTTTGAACCCTGTCATACTCACACATGAAAATTTATTGTTAAGGTTGCTGACACCTGTTCTGTGAGAAGTGAAGGGCTTAAGAGGGGTCTGCAAATTATTGATTCATCTGATTATCAAATGGGTGAAAATATGATGGGTATGATACCTCTGCTTTAGAACTTGGATAAGAATTCAGATTCTCAATTAATAACTTGAGCTCTAACTAGGTGTTGCATTTCAATACTGAGAAGGCTGACCAGACTGAGTTGTGTTTGTTTATGAAATTATTTGTTCTAAAGCATATTTCCATTTACTTTTCTTTCCTCGTTCTATGAGAAATAATTTCCTTCATTTTATTTATTCTTTTATTTAGGTTACCAATGCCATTTTTTGCAGGTGATTCTGGGGAAATTGATGAGGAAGCAGCAAAAGAGTGGGAGCATACACTTCTGCAAAATTCTATGGATAAAGAGTTGAATGAGTTAAATAGACGTTTAGAGCAGAAAGAGGTACGGTTTTGGTTTCAAAAGCATGGGGATTCAGTAACCATTGTTTATCTTAGACATTTCAAAATCTTGTTTTGCAATTAAATAATGCTTATTATAAATCTAAAACAGAATTACTGGAACATGCTTTATGTTGTAATTATGAAATCAATACATTGGTGTTACTTTGCTTCCTGTATAGTTTGAGAATGAACAATTTTGTATCAGCACACCAGCAGTCGTACACATCATATTCGTGTTTATTGATTCAAAAATATTTCCATTATACCCATGGGTGGTGTAATGTTTTTGGTGTTTCTTATATTTAAAATATGCTGTTTTATTGCATTATTCTGTGCATTCTTGAATGTGACTTCTGCACATTGGTCTTCTTTCTTCTTAGATTCATTTTTGCATTTAATGTCTCTGCAGTCGGAGATGAAACTTTTTGGAGGATCTGACGCAGTGGCCCTTAAACAACACTTTGGAAAGAAAATCGTGGAACTTGAGGATGAGAAAAGAACTGTTCAGGTTAATACAAGCTTCTTGTATGTATCCTTGAGTCTTCATGACCTTGAGAGTTGATGTTCACTTTTTCAGTTGTTTTATCTATGCAGCAAGAAAGGGATCGTTTGTTGGCTGAAGTTGAAAATCTCGCTGCTAATAATGATGGACAAACACAGAAATTTCAAGATATTCATACCCAGAAATTAAAAGCACTTGAGGCACAGGTGATAATTTTAGCCGAGATGCTATTATTTTTAGATTAAAAGTATCTTCCTTATGATAATTTATTCTAATAAAAATTCACCCACATTTATACACATCAGATTCAGGATCTTAAGAAGAAACAAGAGAACCAGGTTCAGCTTTTAAAGCAAAAGCAGAAGAGTGATGAAGCAGCAAAACGGTTGCAAGAAGAAATTCAATTCATCAAGGCCCAAAAGGTTGGATTATGTTTTGGTTGATCACCTTTGTATTCTTTTTTTTATTTTTATTTTTAGTGTATGCTGCTAATTTTTTCTGAGGTTGTAGGTTCAACTGCAACAAAAGATAAAACAAGAGGCAGAACAATTTCGACATTGGAAAGCCTCTCGAGAGAAGGAACTGCTGCAGGTACATTTTTTCAATTATTCAGTTATTTATTTATTCCTATAATTGGATTGGGAATGTTGTGCAACCAACTTTGTAGGACCATTTAAAAGTTTCCTCCTGCAAAATTGCAGAAAAATACCAAAATAGTTGAGCCAACAAAAGGGAGGCTGCGCTTTGTAAAATTAATTTTACATAGACTCCTTTTTGACATTAAACTCAACTTTTTATTTGGCAACATCTTTTACGGAGAAGTGTTGTGGACTAGGACTTCTTGGTGGTGATGTTTATTGCATTTGGTGGACGTCCCATATTCCATTTCAATCATGACACTTCTACATGCTATATTGAGAATACTTTTCAATTTAACAAATTAGTCATTGTTGATTGTTACCTCTTTATAATGGTTAGCTTACCACTACACGGTACATCAGTTTTTCTTTCTGTATCTTATTTTATATTATTGGGATCATATAACAGTAGTGGTCATATTATCGAGAGAAGTTTCTAAACATAATAGTTGGAAAATATTGCATGGTCATCAATCTAGTTTTGTGAAGCTCGCTCAATGAGAATCTTAATAGCACCAAAGGGAATTGATTTATATGCACTTATGAAATAATGGCAGCTTATTTCTTTATGCGACTAAAACAGACTCATGTGAGATACCCAAGTCATCTTTGAACTAAGTAACACAGACATGGTGATTTTCAAAAAAGGCTAGACGCGGTACTCTTGAGACGCACTAAAAATATTTTATTTATAAATTTATTATATGTTAAATATATAAATAATTTATTTAAAGGTAATGAAAAAAAGCAACATATAACACTAATTAAAATGTAAAAATCATATATTTCATAACTCAAACATTAAGATATCATTCACCTAATGATTGCATTCTAAATAATGCAAAAGAATTGTAGAACATTGAATTATAGATGCATATATCTTTCAGTGTTTCAAAAAAACATATTAGAGTGCACAAGTTGCATCTTGAAGAATTCATAACATTGTTACTATAAAGAGATTCATCATATAGGTCGTGTTCGGAAAGTACAAGAAGTGTCGCCTAAGTGTTTGAGAAGTATATGTAAAATGTTCAATATCATGAATTTAAAATTTTAATTTAAGACACTTTGAAAAAGTGCTGGATACATTTTTCGCAGTGTCCGCAGAGTGTCGTGTTTGACACAACATGACTCTTCTATAGAAGTGTTCACGCTTCTTAGCCTTTGAACAAATTTGCAGTTCATTCAATTGTAAATTTGATTGAATGAGTTATCCTATTCACATTTTGAACTTTTATGTGTTGATTTTGTATTTGTTTATGTAGTTGAGGAAGGAGGGGAGGAGGAATGAGTATGAAAGGCATAAATTGCAAGCTCTAAATCAGCGCCAGAAACTGGTGAGAATTTCTTTTTGATTTTATATTTATTCCTTTGCCTTCGTTTGTGAAGCACACGATAAAAAAACTATAACCCCTATCAGTTTCTTTGGGCCATAAGCCTCTGAAATGCTCATCCTGTCAAAATATGATTTTCTTAGCTACACTACATATGAGAATTTATGGAAATTACTTGGTCAGAAGCATTGTCACTTGTAAACTTGCTTGGTCTGGTTTATTGTCCTTTTGAGAGCATTCCTTTGTAGAGTACACTTACCAAGTGTTCTTGAAACTGCCAACAGAACTAAGGATGCTTCACTTTCAGGAGTTAAAAGCAAATGAAATGACGGTGCCTGTTTGTTTTCCTGATTGTACAAGCCCCGATCTGTATGAAATGCTTTGATGTTTGGTACCTCCTTTATTTTGGAGTAGATGACAATAAATTTTCCCAAATTAGATGACATAAAGCAATGTGTTCTTTTATAGAGTCGACATCTATTTTGTGAATACTAACACCTAGAACAAAACTAGAGATTCAGAAGCATTATTGTCTCTGTTCATTCTGAGAAAAAAATGTTTCAGGTGCTTCAAAGAAAAACGGAAGAGGCTGCAATGGCCACAAAGAGGCTAAAAGAGTTGCTAGAAGCACGCAAGTCTGCATCCCGCGACAACTCCGGTATGTGTTTTCATTTGAACATAATGCTGAACTACTTGTTTGGAACCCCTGTTTTTTGTAAACCTTTTCTTGAACAAGGCATTAGAAGTAGTTTTGTTTTTTGGGTACTTTTCAAACAACAGAGCTACGTGCTTCATCAAAAACAAGGGGGTGGTGATGTGATGTGCCCGTCCCTTCTATTTTCTTGTTTTCTGATAATAGATTTTTTTTTCTTTCCCAGTAGTTACCAATGGAAATGGAGTAAATGGCCAGGTAAGCAGCTATGCTTCCTCTTCTTGCAAGTTGTCGATCATGTTGCATACTTGATTCCAAAACAAGTTTAACCTAAGTTTGTTCTCAGAGCAATGATAAATCCTTACAACGTTGGCTTGATCACGAGCTTGAAGTCATGGTGAATGTTCATGAAGTTCGCTACGAATATGAGAAGCAAAGCCAAGTGTATGTATTCGGTTCAAACTTGTTTTAGTCAGTAAGTTTTGCATGAGCTAGTTTGTAATTTCTAAATAATTGTTCTACTATCTCCAGACGAGCTGCCCTTGCAGAGGAGTTAGCTGTGTTGAAACAGGTTGATGAATTTGCTGCAAAGGGGCTTAGCCCTCCTAGACGAAAAAATGGTTTTGCCAGGTGAGCCTTGTTTTCATGTATATTTCATTTCATGCATAAACACTTTTGTTATATTTATAACCATTTCTGTTACTGGTTTCTCATTTGTTCAGGGTGTCCTCCATGTCACCAAATGCCAGAATGGCGAGAATATCTTCTCTTGAGAACATGCTTAGCATTTCATCAAATTCACTTGTAGCAATGGCTTCACAACTTTCTGAAGCAGAAGAACGGGACCGTGCCTTCAGTAATCGTGGACGGTGGAACCAGTTGCGTTCAATGGGAGATGCAAAGAGCTTACTTCAGTATATGTTCAATTCTCTTGCAGATGCAAGGTGTTTCCTTTAATCTACTGATGCTCTGAATAATTTCATTTTCATTTCTTCTTACGTTTCTTGTTCAGATTTGGTCGGGGTACAGAAAGTTTCTGCTTTTGGTGAATCCTGTGAGAAATGATGGTTGCCAATTACACGAAGGATACGTTTTGTCAAAAGAAAATAAAAAGTAGAAGATTGAAAGAAAGATGATTACACCATATAGCGCCTTCACGCACCTAATTTGGAGTTAACCTTGTAGTGAGATGGGATTGGTTTTGAGTGCCCAGTTTGTGGATCGGGGTTTCAGGTATCCTATTTGAAATTCACCAAAGCTGAAAACATTTGGAATTTTTATTGTGTCTATGTAGAGGTAGGGACACATATATACGCTCGAACAAGTGTATACTTTTTATGTTATAGCCTTATAGGCCTCAAAGTACAATTACACTCACTATCTTTGAAAAAATCATCGACTTCCATCCTAATACATTTACTCTTAAAAGGTTTGCAGTTGTTGTTGTGGTAAGTAGAAGATTGAAAGAAAGATGATTACACCATATAGCGCCTTCACGCACCTAATTTGGAGTTAACCTTGTAGTGAGATGGGATTGGTTTTGAGTGCCCAGTTTGTGGATCGGGGTTTCAGGTATCCTATTTGAAATTCACCAAAGCTGAAAACATTTGGAATTTTTATTGTGTCTATGTAGAGGTAGGGACACATATATACACTCGAACAAGTGTATACTTTTTATGTTATAGCCTTATAGGCCTCAAAGTACAATTACGCTCACTATCTTTGAAAAAATCATCGACTTCCATCCTAATACATTTACTCTTAAAAGGTTTGCAGTTGTAGTTGTGGTGACTCTGCAAGTTGGCTTTGAAATATGAATACTTACACTTGTCCTGGGTCAGTAAAAATAGGTAGCACAATAGCTACATTGTGTTAATGTCCCCCATCTTAGATCCATAACATCACTATTTTTGTTGTATCCACTAAAAACCTCTCATATAATCAGTGGGTGAAGCAATTTATTCCCACCTGTTGATTTAGGGCTGGAATCAGAAGGGACATCCAGATGTAGGGGAAGGGATGTAGAAAGTTGTAAGTATGCCTGCAAACTCCATTGAATCATATTATAAGATAGGTAGGCAGTCATTTTTCTTACAAAACATAAAAAATGCTTGGATCTTTTAAAACTAAATACAAGTCTGTTCAGCTTAATTTTCATGTCATCAAATTTGCCATATGTTTTAAGCTGACCAGAAAAAGGTGGCCTAGTTAATTCTAATTAGTCCTTTTGTCATATGCAATGGTCAATTTGAAGTGGTAGATTAAAATTTTCTTCTAAACTTATGGTAGTTCGGAAAAGTTTCCTTGGTATGGACAAATTGCAAAGTATCAGTGTTCTGCTGCAACAGGTGCCAAATGTGGGAGAAAGAAATTGAAATTAAAGAGATGAAAGAACAACTGAAAGAACTTGTAGGCCTGCTACGACAGAGTGAATCACGAAGAAAGGAAGTTGAGAAGGAGCTAAAACTGAGTGAACAGGCTGTTGCGATTGCATTGGCTACTTCAGCTTCGGTGAGATTACTTCTTGTCTCTATATTTTCTGTTAATGCGTTGTATAACTATCTAATACTCATTCAGATCATGTAGTACAAAACAGTTGAGCCGTATCAAGGCTAGGATACTATAAATTTGAATTTGGAGATTGAACATTCAATCTTAAGTTCATGTGGGCAACCTCTAGAGCTTCAGATTTTCCAACCTTAAAGTATTATATATAATGGAGGTCTACAGGTTTCGAACTGTTGTGTGCATTTTCGTGTTCTTAAATAGGATGCTGAGATCCTCTCTCTCTCTCTCTCTCTATGTTTTCTTTTAACTTTTAAGAATGTCGAACAGGGGAACTCTCACAATTCACTGAAACACTTTGCCGATGACATGAGTGCTCCGTTGTCTCCGATGTCTGTTCCGGCACAGAAACAGCTCAAATACACAGCAGGCATTGCTAATGGCTCAGTCAGAGAGTCAGCAGCCTTCATGGATCAGACACGAAAGGTTAATTTCCTTCTCATGTTTGCTCAATATTGGTCACCTAATTCCTCTCTTTGGCTTGAATAATATGTTGTGAGGTCTCCTGTGGGTGCAGATGGTGCCAATGGGGCAGTTGTCAATGAAGAAATTAGCGGTTGTAGGGCAAGCTGGGAAGCTATGGAGGTGGAAGAGAAGTCATCACCAGTGGCTGTTGCAGTTCAAATGGAAGTGGCAGAAACCTTGGAAACTCTCGGAGTGGATTAGGCACAGTGACGAAACAATCATGAGGGCAAGGCCTCGTCCACAGGCTCTACCAGATGTGATGTATCACAATCATTAGCTAATAGTTTCTCCTGTATATCCATATTTGACCCAGACACGGCCCCACCACACGATACAGTGAAGAACATAGAAGTAATTACAGGTGAATCTCATTAACTTTATTGAATTAGTCTTCCTTGCGAACAGTTAATTTATATTGTTGACATGTCCAAGGACCAATGTTTTATCTGCTAAGAAGCCAACATCTATGCTGATGCAGGCAAATCTCTAAATTATAGATAATTAGCAACAACTGGGTTTTATTCAGTAATATCAAAAATTATTACCAACATAAGTAAGTTTAGAATGTGAAATTATGATGGGTAAATTAGCTTGTTAAGAGGTAGCCAATTGAAACATCTATGTTCTGATTGGATAACCAAGTCAGCATGTAGCTAGTTCACCATGAAACTAATGTGTCTTCTCTGTTTTTTTTTTGTTGTTTTTTGTTTTTTGTTTTTTTTTTTAAAATATGAATACAGTTTTGTGAATCGATGACATGGGGGGATTGTCTGCCAGTTAGAGCCTGTCTTGGATGAACTGGATTTTGGGTAAAGTAGGTGTATTGGAATTCTAGGTCTGTGGGTTACTACATCGGGAGCATCTTGTAAAGCAGTTTGATGCTATCGATGGGTCACCGGAGAGTAGTCTCAAGGAATCTGCCAGCAAGTCACGGGTGGTGCAAATCGCAGCAATACACGGTGAGGAAAGGAGATGAAGCTTGTGCTGGTGGTCTCATCTCCACTGCTCTCAGTATACATTTCTGCCAATAACAGTTACTTCAAGGGAAGAAATACTTTCATCAGCCCATAGTTTGTGTATTGAAAGGTTTTTCAAATTGTTTCCTTTTTTTTTTTGCCACTTTCTTTGGCTATTTTTTTTCCTGGTGTGTTTAAACACAATATATATAATGATTTTGTTCACCGCGACAAAATGTTAAATGGTTTGCGGATGGATGCCTATTGTTCTTATTTTTGTGTGTAATCATCACATTGGCTATAATGAAAGAGGTAGTAGTACTCTCTAGATACTATGTATGTGGTTGTACATGGTTAGTTCAACAAGGTTCCAAGAAAACAATACACATGAAATTGGGAAGTTCACAATTTGGTGGGTTAATACTTATCCAATTCCTTGAGAATTGCTAAACAGGGGAGCAAAACCTTTGCATAGTGCGGAGCAACGTCTGCCAGTAATTATTTGCATATACAACTCTCAAATTGCATTTGCATATATCTCTCAAATTGCATATATAACTCCAAAACGTAATATGAGTATAAATGGAAACCCAACTTCCAAAACTACTTGCAATATATTTCCCTGTTCTTAAAAAAAATATTCATAAAAAAAACTACTTGCAATGTAGTGTTTGTGGTTGTCGGTTATTAGAGACTATCTATATCAACCAACCAGTGATGAAATTTCCCCTGGTAAACAAAACAATCCAAAAAGTAAATGTAGGCTAGAGCACTCACAACAACGGAAAAATAAAAAATAAAAATGATTCGAACTAGAAGTAAACACCCAACATCCATCAAAATAACATAACCATTATTCTTAAAGAATATACTGACAATCAACAGTCACCATCGCATCATTGAACTCGAAACATGTTTAGATCGTTAAAAGCTTATATGAGATTAACTCATTAAGCCAAGACCCTGTAAAACAGGACCAAAGATGCTGTTATCGTGGCAATACAATCCAAAACATAGTTTGAAAGCCATTACAGAAGCAAAATAATTGCTCATTTTTTTCCATGGTAAAGATTTAAACACTGCATGGGTACATGATTCTCAGATACAAGGGAACATATTTTTACTAATCACTCCTCTAAATCTGATGCATGATAAGTTTTGCTGGTAAATGATCAAGACTGCGGGACTCATAGAGCTGGAATCAAAAGCTACAAGATAGGCAGTCCAATGCAATACAAGTATGATTGTGCACACCGTATCCACATATCACGTGCATCATGAACCAGAGCTAGTGTCCTGCTCAAGTGCCCGACATGGTCAGATTTTGCCACACCAGTATGCATAATGTTCCTCTTTGCGATGATTACTAACTAGACCCCCACATTGTAAACATACAAAGCTACTTCCATCTGAGAAGGCGTCGAGCACAATTTGATTCCGACCAGTCTCTGCCAGGATAGAAGTTCGATGAGCATTGTGTTCAGTAGATTCACTCACCGTGTTATGTTCAGACTCTGCAGACTTCAAAGGCAGGGCTTCGGCAATTGCACACTCGGCAAATAAAGAAGCCAACTCATCAGCAGCAGCACTTGCTTGCAACTTGTTTCTGTACAGCTCACGTGTACTGTTTAGGACTTGAAATACGGCCTCATCTCCGCCTTTGGTTTTCATTGCCATCACCACCTATAACCAGAAGAAATTAGTACACAGAGATGTAGTGTGTTCCAACTTTCTTTCCGTTTTCTTTTTTTCCCCCCATTTTCTATTATTAAATGTATTGTATTCTAACTCATTGAAAATGTAATTTTACCATTTTTTTAGTACTTTGACATGTTGGATACCTTACCAAAAATAAAATAAAATAGGACTTATGTGTAGATCCTAATAGGTGGACTTATTGTCTAATAGGTCCTTATGATAATTAATGGCGTTTTTCATTAAACACTATTAAAAAAGTCACTAATTATTAATTTTCATCGACAGTTTTAAAAATTTTGTCACAAAAAATGTCACTAATTATAAGTTTTAGTGATAGTTAAAAAAAATCGTCTTTTAGTCACTAATTTTTAACTTTTAGCGACAGTCTGAAAAATTTGTCATAGAAAAATATTACTAATTGTAAGTTTGAGCGACAATTTATAAAAAACTATGACAAAAAAAGTCGCCAATTGTCAATTTTGAGCAACATAAGCAAACAAAGTCACAAAAAAATTATTTTTAACGACGATTTTATTAGAACTTATTTTCAATAGGATTTGATGAGAATTAAGTCCAACTATTAAGACCTATTAGTAGTTTACCCCAAAAAAATATTTATAATGCGAAGTACTTAATTCTTCAAAGAAATAGCAAAACATAAGACAGGGAGATGAATGGTGAGTCGGTTTAAAGATTGGGAGATGTATGGAAGACAGCCTTCAAGATGAAAGATGGCCTCTATGAGTGGCTCGTCATGCCGTTTGGCTTACAAATGCCCCAAGTACCTTCATGTGCCTTATGACACAGGCATTGCAATCTTTTATTGGTCAATTTCTAGTCGTTCAATTCGATGATATCCTAATGTATCGCAAGACCAAGAAAGAACACGTCCTTCATCTTCAGCAAACTATGAGGATTCTCCGCCAAAAGAAGCTCTACATAAACCTAAAAGTGTTATTTTATAAGTCCAAGTGATGTATTTTTGGGCTTTGTTGTCTCATCTAAAGGAGTGGAGGTTGACCCAAGTAAAGTTAAAGCTATTCTAGAGTGGCCGATCCCTTGTTCCTTACGTGATGTAGTCTTTGCTGGCAACTTTTTACAGTCACTTTATTAAGAATTTCAGCAAGGTAATGGCACATATCACAAATTGTATGAAGGAAGGACAATTTGTTTGGACCAAATTAGCAACTAAACCTTTTGAAGAAATAAAGAAAAGGATGCCGGACGCTCCTATTCTATATCTTCCAGACTTCTCAACGGTGTTTGAAGTGGCCTGTGATGCATCAAATGTCGGAATTGGAAGTGTGCTTTAGTCAAGAAGGGCACCCCGTTGCTTATTCTAGGGAAAAGCTCAATGAAGCTAAGCAAAAGTACACCACTTCACCATTAGCGTCACTATCTTCTGTTTAAAGAGCCATTAGCGTCACTTCACCAACTCCCAAAAGAACCTAAGCCATTAGCGTCACTTCACCAACTCCCAAAAGAACCTAAACCATTGACATAGCAAGTGGGTTTCATTTCTGCAAAATTTTTAATTTTTGTTTTCGTTATCAAACATAAGGCCGGTGTTGAGAATAAGGCAGTTGGTGCACTTAGCTGGGTGTTTTATGTTCTTTCCTCTATGGGTATACAAGTTGTGGGTTTCAATTTGCTCAGAAAAGACTATCATTCTTGCAAGGATTACAGCAATATACATGCTCATTTATTGGCTGGACGACAGAGAAAATGTGAAGATGTTTCCTTGCATGACAGTTACTTCTTCAAGGAAACTCAACTTTGCTTACCCAACACATCTATCCATGAACACACAAGTGAATTGGGAATTGCATTCCAGAATTTGGAAGAGATTAAGACAATTGCAATGGTTGAAAATTATTTTTATTGGTCAAAGCTGAAGTGGGATGGAGCCATGGTTGTTCCCAATGCCGAACTTGCCAACTTTCAAAGGTAAGAAAGAAGAATACAAGTTTACAAACCCCACTACCAGTGCCCGACAAGCCATGGCAGGATTAAAATATGGATTTTGTCCTCGGATTGCCAAAAACCTTTCGAGGACATGACTCTATTATTGTTATAAACATTTTCTAAAATGGAGCACTTCATTCCTTGTTCAAAGACTTCAAATGTTGTCCACATTGCTAAGTTCTTCAAAGTAGTTAGACTTCCAGGGTTGCCTATGACTATTGTCTCAATGTGAGGTTTGTGAGTTACTTTTGGCGCATGCTATAGAAATTGTTGAATACAAAGCTACAATTTTCTTCTACTTTTCACCCACAAACCGATGGCCAAACAGAGATTGTTAACTGCAGTTTGGGTAATTTGCTTCTCTGCCTTATTGGTGATCATATTACTAGTTGGGATCAAATACTTCCTATGGCTGAATTTGCATATAAGAATTCTTTAAACAGATCTACAAGTCTTAGCCCCTTTGAGGTTGTGACAGGATTACTTCCTAGGAAACCAATTGATTTGGTTCTTTTAGGTCAAGGCTACTCCTAGTGCTGAAGCCTTTAGCAAGCATATCCATGATACACATGATGATGTTCAACGGAAGATTGCAATAAGCAATGAAAGCTATAAAAGGTACGCTGATCTGAGAAGAAGTTTTGCTGAGTTTGACAAAGGAGACATGGTTATAGTTTGAGTCAAGCCAGAATGGTATCCTAAAGGCAGGGGTGGAACCAGAATTTTATCCTAAGGGGTGCCGCCACAAAGAGACGGCAGAAGAGAGGCTATGATTGACCCTATTGGTGGTAAAGATAGGCTTTTTTGAGTTTCATTAATTTGAGAGAGAGAGAGAGAGAGAGAGAGAGAGAGATTCATCTAGTTTAGGGATGGCTAGTGTGATGTTGAATTTGGATTAAAGAAAGGTTATGTATTGTTTCAGTGATGCTATGTGTATAGAATTAAAAAAAAAAAATTACAAAAAATTTAACGTGGTTGGTTTAGATTCATTATGACTGTATTGTGGAGAAACCTAAACCTAGAATGAATATGAACCAAACATTGATTTTTTGTGAACTTTTTAGCACCAATGATGTAATTTTAAACTAAACCCCCCAAACAGTCACAGTTTACTGTTACCACCATTGTTCATAACCCAAAATAGTTCTCGTTCTTTGTATTCCCACCTTCCTTTGCCAAGTCAGTTGTTGTCCTACATCAGTGGTGCACTCTTTTTGTCAGATGCCGAATTCACAAATCACAACACCAGTTTTTCTATCTTTGTCTTTTGTGTGCACTTGGGGGGAGGGGCAACAACCAAAGGGGATTTGCTCTTAACCTTGAGGAGTGTGAATAAAACTACATGCTGCCATAGAAATTTATTGCTCTGCCTACAGGCAACAAGATTGATCTCAGATATTTTTAAAATCCCTCCACAACTTTTCTTGTTACATTGCTCAATTTCTAGCTTTGTTTTCAAGAGACTTCCCTATCTCTCCCCCATTTAGAATTTTCCTCAATAGAAAAAAAGTTCTTTTTTAAACTACATATTAGAGAACTTCTATAATTTAAATAAAAATAAAAATAAAAATAAAAATAAAAAAACTTCAACCAAACTTATGATTGTCAGTTCTATTTTTCATTTACATCTTTGTGTTGGCAATGGAAAATACTTTCTTCTAATTTATAATGGAAACCGAAATACCCTACTTTACACACCAAATTGCTTATGGTAGGTGACTGAAGAAAATAAAATTCATATAGAAATGGTGTTGTGTCAGAAGAAGGAAACCGTTTAAACACTTCTAATAGTCTTCTCTAAACTCCATGTCAACATTATTTCACACCAAGAAACTTCATGATCAGTTACTTTAACATTAATATCTAATAATCCGATCATTTTTGTTTTGATTGTTTGCATAAAATCCCATAAAAAAATAAGCCTACATGGCAAATTCTATTTCTAGGATTCCTCTAATTATTCTTTTCCATTCGTATCTATTTAAAATTTCAATTTCAGTAAAAAATCCTCTGTTCATACGTATTCCATTGCTAGATCATCTACATAATTTGATAAAGAATGAGTCAATAAAAGGTGAAATTTAAAATGCTCGTCATGAAGGCATGCTACGACCAATAGGATTAGGGGAAAAAAAAGAGCGGATTCATGGAACAGGTATTCTACCTCCAATAGCTTTAGAATTAAATGGCTATAATTCAAGACTTATTACCAGTGAGTGAGTTACAACAATATTTTGATCATTGGTATTACTGAAAACAGGAAGCGGGTTGATTCTAATCCAATGAACTGTGCTATTAGATGCATCAAAAGGCCCCTTAGAAGTCAAATGGAACACAATGTTGATGGTCTTTCCCTTTGGCACACAGGTTAGTTACATATTGGTGGCTTTTGAGGATAATACAGTATCTATCTGGAATTGGGGAGCATGCTGTGCCTTATGACACAGCATGCTCCCATGTCCGTATCTATCCTACTACTGAACGGTTTTGACGTCTCCATTAATTATAATCATATGGAATTCATCAACACTTAGGCCTATCTTGGCAACTAGCTAAAATAGCTAAAAAGCTACCACCAAAGAGTCAACTCATCTATCTACTTTTGCACGTCCTCTCGTAAAAAAGTAAAAGACTAACTAAAATAGTTACTTCTCAAAACAATTCTTAATCTCATAGATGTGTACTTAGTCATATCGTTAAAATGCACATTACATTGCATATCATATAATAAAATGCATTTGGGGCAAACTTTTGTAACTATGAAAGGGGCAAGTTAATATATTTTGTCTTCACATGAAAAATAGTGCATAGCAAAACAGGATTCATGTAACCTAACAACAGCAAGCCATTAAGAGAAGACATTTTCAAATTGAATTTAGTAGTTAATTGATTCTCTCAAAAAGTCTAAAATAATGATAATCTAAACTATATAATTTCTAAGTTGAAGCAATGGAAAAAAAAAAAATAATAATAATAATAAAAGTGAATTGAACCTTATCACCATACCTAATCAAACAAAGTGAATTGAAGAAAAATAAAAACGATACAGAGAACAAACTACGAACTGAATTCATAGAAAAAATTAAAAAATTGTACCGCTTGAAGAGCCTGTGAAGGCTTGCCCTGATCGATGAGCTGGCGAGCAAATGTGAGCAAACCTCTCACGGATTCGACTTGGTCGGAAATTGACGTCATCTCCTGCGGCGGCGCCACCGTCGCCGCCTCGGCCTCCATCATGTCAGCGTCCCTACTGTCCATGGCGTCATCTAGCATTTCACCGCCTAGGTTTCCTTTTCATATATAAAGATATAGATATAGATATACACAAAAAATATCTCTATTGTATTATACGGATTTACATATGGATTTTTTGTGTGTATGTGTTGACAATCATGATTGATCATAGGAATGAAATCAAATCACCTGAATGTTTCTAGCGATTTCTACTGCAATACACCGTTCTTCGCTGTCTGCATCTCATACATTACCAACTCCACGTATTCTTTTTTTGTAAATCATCACTTGCCCTTTTGGGGATGGAACATTCTGATTTGAGGACCCAAATAGCTTTGGGCCTTGTTCCGTACTTTTGGGCTGGATTGGTCTTTAGTGGGCTGGATTTATACTCTCTCATTTTTACTTGGGCCGTGAAATAAACTAAGCCAATTTTGTTATTATTTAAATAAGTTAAGAAAGATTGCTAAGTTTTCAAATAAAATTTGAAAAATCTGTTACTAAGTTCGATAAGTTTGTATTAGATTATAAAAATCAAGTTGCACAAGCTCGACTTGATTAGAACTCATTTGAGATGAATTTGAAATGTTAACAAGCCAAGCTTGAATACGTTTTAAAACCCGTTAGTTTTGAATTCAAATTTAAAAAAATTTACTTAACTCATTTACCGTCCTAATTTCTATTAATACGTTGGTTTGGACATTTTAACCCAAAGGTCACGAAATTGGGTCAATTTTCTGAAACCAAATAAGGTTAGTTGTCTTCCATTCCATCTGGTCAACAACTACTATTTGTTTTGTTGTGATTATTGCTGTTGTATGCTAAAATGTGAAGGTAAGAGATTCATAACTTCTTATGTGGATTCATCAAATTACTTTGTTAACAAAACCAAGAAAGGAAGAATATGATTGATGGCCCATGACTGAATTCAAATGTTTTACTTTTGATGAATCACCATAAACTCTTTCTAGGGCCCGAGGAAGCATCTAATACCAAGGAATTCCAAGAAGTTTGACTTAAAGGTCAAGAACAAATAGTCTCGTTAGATTGAATTTACATGGCAATAACCAAAAAAAAACACAAATTATTTTTTGATGTGAATCTTATGTTTGTTTGCTGTGAAAATAACAAATAATTCATTTGTGATTATGTTTGTGTTCTTAAGTATAGGGATAGTTCAAAATAAATTATGTCTAATTAAATACTCGACATATTTTTTTAATATTAAAATAATATAATCACAAATAATACTATACGTATTAATTAATGTACTCACTAGTATATTAACAGAAGATGTGACAAAATGTTAAAAATTTTAAATATTTATAATTTGTATAATAAATAGGGTCAACAATAATAACATAACAGTAGATAATAAACTAATATATATATATTAATTAATATATATAATACCACCGCATAACCACTCGTGTATTTTGTATTGTCGTCCATTCCATCGAATTTCACAGCCACGTTTACTGATCTCGAAAGCTGTAAGTCCCAAGGATTTGAATTACCCCTTTTCGAAAAAATATAAAAAAAGAAAAAGAATTTAGCCTTCCCAAGCATGCAGGTCGGGTAGTGTGATAGGAATACGATGCCAAACTTGAGGACCATTTATTCTTACTTTTTGACCATATATAAAGACACAAACAAAAGCAAATTGGAAACAGCATTCACGTATCACCAAAATTCTTTATTAAAATTCTTTATGTTTAATATGAATTTTTATATAGCATGGTGACTCTTACAATTTATTAAATATGATGAGTTTTATATATATACACATGATATCAACACACTTTGATAAATTATATTTCTCTTGAGAAAAACCTCATCTGAAATCCATTGATTTATTCATTGAAGATTGTATGCCCCATTTTTCGTGTTTTCTTGTTCTATTTTATTTATTTATTTATCATATGATAAAATCAAAGAAGGGTAATTGTGTAACAGAGAGGAATGCAAACCATGTAATAGATAAAAGATTTAGGCCATACGGTGAAGAAAAAAACAAAGATAGAAAATTCATACTCATGATCTAAGAAATACTAACATTGTATTTAGTTGGAGGATTTGAGAAGAGATTTGAAAAGAGAAAGAGAAAATGTAGGTGATATGAGAATAAAATATACTTATATTTCACCCAGTTTTATACACTTTTTTCCTTTTCATTTTTAAATCTCTCTCTAAATCCCCTAACCAAACACAACATAATTACATACATAAAATTTATAATTTTATAAAATTGTGCAACACTTGAAAATACACGAACAAGAAGAAGTACAAAAAATCAAATCAGTACGTTTGGTTTGAGTTTTCTGGGTTAAGTTTTTTAAAAAATTTACTTTTTTAGTTTTCGTATTTTTTAGTTTTTAGTGAATATTTTTTAAATTTTAAATATTTTTTTTACTTTTTTAGATACACCTTACTTAGATGTATCTAAAAAGTAAAAAATTTATGAAAAAATATTTTAAAAAATTAATAAATACATAAAAATAAAAAAATATACTGAATTCTTGTATTTTTTTTGTATTTTTAGTATTTAGTAAATTTTTAAAAGATTTTTTTTACAATTTTTTTACTTTTTAGGTGTATTTATGTTAGGTGTGTCTAAAAAGTAAAAAAAATTTGCTTAAAATATTAAAAAAATTCAAAAAATAAAAAAAATAGAATTTTTTGGAAAATGAAAATAAGCAAGGTGAATTATGTTATAATATACTGCTTCCATTTTTTGTTTATGTTTTTTTTTTTAAAAATTCTCTCAACTACTTCGTAAAATCATAACATACTGCACAACCATTAATTTATGTATGAATAAAGTTTAAACTGGCAATGCTAAGGACAGGAAGCAAAGAACCATCATTGTTACTTAAAAAATTAAAAAGCATAGGACGGAGTGGCTTTGGCTAGTCATATGGTGATGGCATATCATCATCAACTCCACCACCCTCTTTTGACTTCTCATCCCCAAAAAACAAAAACAAAAAAAAATGAAAAAAGTCATCCATATGTAGACCACCATCTCTGGATTCCCATACTATTATTTTCAAATCCAACAATGATTCCAAGTTCCTAACTTCCCTCCCTCCATCTCCATCGTCAACAACAAAAACCAATTCATATTTATATGGCATGACTTCTGTCCAGTCCAATGTTGTTGGATTCATGGGGACTCACCACGGGTTTCGTTTTGATAATCTGAACCGTTCAATGTGTAGAAATCGTTGAATACTATGTGTCTGTAAAAAATCACGTTAATCGGATATCAGTAGCTACGTGATCAAATCAGTTTTATATAAAAAAAATAGATGGTGATAAATTAATGGTTGACAAAAATCTCTTTTGATCACATAGCTATCGATATTCGATCAATGTGATTTTTTATAGACATATAGTACTCGACGAATTCTAAACATTGAACGGTTCAAATTATCAAAACGAAACTCATAATATGCCTCCACAGACCCAATAATACGGGACTGGACAAAAGCCATTCCCATTTATATACATACCCACACAACCAGGCAACACCTCCTCCCATCATCTTTCATTCATACCAGCCCTCCACCCACCACTAATACATATATATAACTCTCATCAATAACTATTTTTTACTAAAATAGATTTGGAAAGAAAAATGAAAAAGTTAAGTGAAATGTGAATAAAATATATACTTATATTTCACTTAGTTTCACACACTTTTTTCCTTTTTCTTTTCAAATTTCTCTCCAAATCCCCCAATCAAATACAACATAAAAGTTTCTAAAATCTAAATTGTCGATGTCAATCGTACCATACACGACACGTCACTTATTATATTATTACAAATCCACAAAATTCTATGAGTGCGTTCTAACATAATACACATAATGCATACAAATTGAGTGGGAATCCTCACAAGATAACCATCTTGAAATTAAAGTGTTTATTTATTAATTAATTGGATTAATTTAATTGATCACTACTTCATATTTATATCCAAAAGGTTAGCTAATCAATCTTTCGTTAAATATAAAAATTAATAATTTTCCCTTTATTATGTTGTTTATTTATTCTCCATTATGCAACATTTTTAAAATTAATTGTTGGTTGACTTCTACCTTTGGCTAGATTATGATAACATGAATACAATTTTTTTCATATTGTAAAGGTTAATAAAAATTTTGTGTATCACTACTGTAACTCAATAATTTTATATCTATTAGCAATAACCCACAAAAAAAAAAAAAAAAAAAAAAAAAAAAAAAAAAAAGAAGAAAAAAGTCACAGCACCAACAATTTCAAAATCACTCTCACTAACATGTTCTCTTCAAATCAAACTTGTTTTCTCTATTTGCATACAGAATTTAAATAAGTTTTCAAAACGGGTAAGGATGAAAAAAAAAGAAAGAAAAAAGACCCGACCCGTCTAGTGATTTGTCTAGCCAGCTGGCGTACCAGGCCTCAGCGTTGACCATTGGCTCCACCTGCTGCATAATCATCTCACCTTGTCTTTTTCTCTGCCACTGACGGCTGTGATTAGGTTGGTTCCCACTTTTCTTTTTGAATTTTGTTTTAGGCCGTTGGATGATGTGATGATGAAGAAATTTAAGAAGACTCGAGTACGATAGCTGGGGTAGCCTCCGTGGCAGTGTGAGAGTGGTTGTGCTCGCCTTCGTATGTGACGATCAGCATCGTTGAATCGTCTAATGCTCTCTCCACGTGTTTCCGTGCCGGGCAACCTCTTACGCTGCTACACTTGTAATAACCCCTGATCATCAAAGACCAAACCAAACAACAAAATTTTATAAAAAATTGATAGAGCAAAAATTTTGATCATCTGTCAATTTTCATAGGAGGGTCTCTCGTCTGTGATAAAATAATAATTTATTTATAATTTTAATTTTAATTTTCATAGCATACACGCAAATCAAAATATTAGAAAAGTATTTATAGAACAATCTCTCAATTCTTTCTTTTCATTTATTTCCATATTAAGATTTTACATGTTTTTATAAAACTACTTGAAATCTCATACAATAAATTTCTACGGTCAAAAAGTCCATAAAATCAAACAGTCATAACATCATATGTGATTGCTTGTCATCGTTTCAATTTCTTAACTCGTAAAAATAAGGACAATCTTTAAGTGTGCAATATACACTTATGTAAGTTGTTACAAATATATATAAATTATTTTACAAAATTACATAAATTTTTATAAATATATATAATTTATAAAAATTTAAGAAATTATAATTTAAGTATATTTATGTAAACTTATTTATGAAAATTTACGTAAATATATACAGTATACACTTCGTACACCCAAATACTTCCCATTAAAGATTCGATTCCATGTTTTTTTTTCTTTTCTTACCGTTGATCCAACTAAAAACTATTTTCATAGGTAAAAACTAGTTTCAGTGCGCCAATAGAATTACCCCAGTTTCACTTGCAGTACTACCACATGATATGCTCAAAAAGAAAAACAGAGGATCACACACCTTGGATGTGGGGAACCTTTGATGGGCTTTTGACCATACTTTCTCCAGGAGTAATCATCCGGTGGTATGTCGGCCAACTTCACACTTATTGCCGGCACTCTCACCACTCTCTTCACCTTCAATTTCCTAATAAATAAAAAAAGAAAGAAAAAACTCAATGAAATCCATAAAATACAATAATTATAACAACAATTAACTATTTGATGATGTGAATAATGAACCCTACCTTTTCTTAGAACAATGGCATCGCCCTGAGGAGGCACCGCACTTGGCGACCGCATCGTCCATCGAACTGCACTTCCTCTTGGACAGCGGCGGCCGACCAGCCGACGACGGGTTCGTAATCTGAAACGCCGACGACATCGAATGCTGCAGGCTGTCGGTGTCTCCCGTCAGAGACGACATGAACGAATTCGGCGGCGACGCCACCGCCGCGAAATTGATCGTCTTCGCTAACTCCTTCCGATCAATAGATCCGTTTTTCACTTGGTGATTGTGAGGAAGAGGAGGCAATCTCTGAATCGGCTTCGGACAGTAAACTCTAGGAACCGAACCCTGCTTTTCCTCCACCGACTCTGTTTCATGGGTCCTCTGTTGCTGTTGGTGAGGAGTCACAGGGCCTCTTCTGAAGCGAGCGTGACCGGTTCGAGTTCGATCGAGAAACGAAATGAACTTCTTGAACTTGTTCACGGCGACATCTGCAACGGCTCTGTAATCCATTTCAGAGTCGTTCGAGGATTGTTGTTGCTGTTGTTGTTGTTGTTGGGTTTGGTGAGAGAGCATTCGAATGAGCTTCTCAACGCTTTGAAGCCCGGCGGTCGCAGCCTCTTGTGCCGCATTCTCTTCCATGTTTGACCCAAAACTGTCGTCTCTGTAACTTATTAGCTCAACCGCCATGTCTGCAACAACATTCAATATTACCACTAGATTTGATACAACTAGATATAAATAGAGAAAAGATGTTGATGAGGAAAGCAGGAGGAGTTGAATCTTTAAAGGAAGAGAGAGAAGATGATAAGAGAGAGAGAGAGAGGTGAGTCAAATGAAAGTTAGCTATTTAATTTAATTTAATTTTTTTTTATACTATTTTAAGCTTACTGAAATAGTTGTGTTTGAAAATTTTGTTAATTTTTTTAAAAAACTAATTTGATGATGATAAAAAAAATAAAAAATAAAAAATAAAATATAATATTTTATATTATTAATTATTTAAATTTATTTTATCTTTTAATAAATTATTTTATCTCAATCTTTTTCTCAAATACTCCATTCCATTCACAAGCAAATGTAAGATGATAAAAAAAAATAAAAATAAAAATAAAAAATAAAATAAAGTATTTTATATTATTAATTATTTAAATTTATTTTATCTTTTAATAAATTATTTTATCTCAATCTTTTTCTCAAATACTCCATTCCATTCACAAGCAAATGTAAGACAACGGATGATGAGATGTCGCTTCTGTCCCGCTGCAGTCAAACTCTATAGCAAATAGAATGATTCCACATGGCCTAATTAGGATGGGAAAAGAGGAGGAGCATTTGACCTAAAACTCCAATGGTGGTACCGGATAACGGGTAAGCCAGTAATAATTATAATAAAGGAAAGAGAAATAGAGGTGGAAAAAAAAGTCAAAAGGTTGTAATGAGCCGTTGGATTGAAATAGGGGTGAGAGCCTGGGAGGGTGGGGTTTAGGTTGGAGCCAGTGAGGTAGAGTTGACCTTTTAACAGCTCTAAATGCAAAAGTCCAAATTGGGGATGTGGGTCCCTAAATTGCATCATCTTTACCGGAAACCGGGAACATTTTGAATTGCAAACCCAACAAAAGTCGCATGGAATTCTTTGCTTCCTGACGCTTGTCGAGAAAGAAGACGACGAGTCGACGACTTTGCTTCTTTTTTTTCTTTTTCTTTTTTTCTTTTTCCTTATTCCGGAAGGTGCTGGGTGGGGTGGGTGTACTTTATCAGGTAGTCTGTATTTGTAATTTTTATTTTTATTAATTATTTTAATATAAGATAAATTACAAAGCATTTTGAGATTTATTTAAATTATAAATTATTTTATGTGATTTTAAAAATTATATTATGTCCTTTAAGATTTTTAATTTTACAATAAATTTTTTATTAATAAATTATCAAATTAATTTACAGTTTTTAATAATGTTAAAATTTTATTTTAATTAATAATTCAAATAATTTTATTATTGTACAGATGAACAGTTAGAAATTTTATTTTTTCAATTAAGCAAACCTCAGAAAGTGTATTCATGATTTATCCTTTAATATATTACACTAACAACAAACTTGTACTATTCATGGAGCGAAAATTTTATATTTTTTAATTTGTCGTATATATATAAATTTTAAAAAATAATTTCTATTATAATAAAAATAGTTTAATAAATTTAAATTAATTATTAAAAAAATGTTAAATTTTGTTAAAGACTATTATATTTTATATTGATTAGATAAATTGTCTATTAAATATATTTGGTATACAGATATTAACCGAGTTAACGTTAAATTAAAGTAAACTACATAAAAAGATTATGTGTTAATTCAACCCAACCCAACATAACTGATTAATATAGTCATTATAAACCTGACCCTAAAAAAATTATAACCTTCAAATTAATCCATTATACATTGACTATTATTATTATTATTATTTTGGAGTGCTTTTAAATGAATTTGCTATTTTTCATATTAATTTTAATTTGGACCATTATCAAAATTCAATTGAAAATAATTTTTACCCTCTTAACAAATGTTTAAGTGTAAACTCTAAAACACACACACACACATATTTTTTTATTGTTCATTTTTTTAAAAATAAATGTTTTCAAAAAAAATAAAAATAGGCAGAATGTTAAAAATAAATTATTTCAAAAAAATTTTTTGATTAAAGAAAATTAAAATGAACCAAAATAATAATCTTGCAACATTTGCACTTAAAAGAATTAATGTTAAGATAATTAGTGATCTCATTACATATATATTTGTTAAATTCAAATATGTGATTTATTTATTTATTTTATAAATAAAATATAAGTATAATTTAATTTGGCTATAGAAAAAGAAAAAAAAAGTGACAAATTCATAATATTTTCAAACTCAAATATATTTTTTGAGTTTTTGAGTTTTCATTTTTTTAAAATCTCTAGTAAATTAAATTTGAAAATAAAATTAATTTTAAATTAATCCATGAATAGTGACTTTACAAATTTCATTTAATTATATTGCTTCCAAAGACTAATATGGAAAGATTTTCAAATTTGTATTTTAAATTTTGAAAAGATTAATATGGAATCCATTGATAATGACTTTATAAATTTTCTTTAATTATATTGTTTCCAAAGACTAATATGGAAAGATTTTTAAAATTATATTTTAAATTTTGAAAGGATTAATATGGAGTCCATTAATAATGACTTTATAAAATTTTCTTTTATTATATTGTTTCTAAAGACTAATATGGAAATATTTTTTAAATTATTTTTTAAATTTTGAAAAGATTAATATGGAATCCATTAATAATGACTTTATAAATTTTTCTTTAATTATATTGTTTCCAAAGACTAATATGGAAAAAATTTTAAAATTATATTTTAAATTTTGAAAAGATTAATATGGAATCCATTAATAATGGCTTTACAAATTTCCTTTAATTATATTGCTTCAAAAGACTAATATAGAAAGATTTTTAAATTCTGAAAAATTTAATATGGAAAGATTTAGGTGTAGAGTGTGTGAGTAATTTTCTGACCACACTGCCCGCCTATTATCAGCTGGAGAGCACCGGCAGAATAGATGGCTTCAACAAACTTGTAACAGAAAGAAAAGGCTTCGCCGGTGGCTCTTCCACCCGGGGGCACTCCGACGATCAAGTCAGTATATCTCTCAAAGATAATCAAGTGCTAAACTCACAAGCTTGAGTATAAAACTGCGTACCTTAGACCCACGGAGGTGCCTTTCTTTTATAGTTTACTTAATCCAAGTCCTACTAGAAGCCTGACTTCTATGGACTCCAATTTAGTACTTACTTTGGATTCCTAAATAGATAAAGATAAACTCCCTAAGAGCTTTATCCTTATGTTAGCAAAGTCTTCTCTTTTCTCTAGGACTCTTGTCCCTTATCCGCTTATCTCGGATTCCGATATCTTCGGAGATAACCTCAGCCTTGACGAGATAACCTCGGCGTCACAATTTGGACACGTGGCACTTCGGCTGACACGTCGACGTCACCTTGCCACGTGTTGGTATTCAGAAAATACATCCCCACAACTGCCCCCTAGGTCTATTACCTCGGCATTCTGAGGTGATGGAACCTATATATGTATTGTCTTCTTAGTACCCTCGGCGTAAGAACTCTTCGGCCGAGATTGTCAAGCCGATATGCCTTGTTTTCAAGAACAAGAACTCAAATGAACTTTCCCACGCGCATGAGTTGTCATGCATCACTTCTCAACCGTTTCACTTACGCGTTTTTACCTTATTGGTCCGTGCCTGCGACGCGCTTATTAGCCGTCTTAATCTGTCTGCGCCGTCTGACGTATGCGTTGCTCCAGGCGCATTGATTACCTTTTGCCGCCGTTTTTGGTTTTTGACAAAACCCTTCATTCCCTTCTTCGTCTCTTCACTTTTGCATTTGCTGTTTCTTTCTCTAAAACTCGTTCCTTCGATTCCGCCATTACTGAAGCCTGCAAGCTCTGTATTTGTCTTCCTGGTGGAACTTTCGTCATTCTGTCACATCTGTAACTTCCGTTGAATTTGGCAGCCCTCACATCGGCTTCATTTTTTCTGGTAAGCAACTGTTCCTTATGATTCCCAATTTCTTCTATGTGCTTTCGTTTACTTATTGCCATTATTGCTCTGTTTCAAACCTTTGATTTGCTGAATTATTCATCTAGATGCGTCTATTCCATGATTTCACTTATATTTTGAACACTTGCATTGTTTCAACACTTTTCTTGCCACTGTTCTTGACCTTTTACTTTTGTATTCTTCATGTTCTTGATAGCCCATCCCTGTTCTTGTTTCTGAAATTTTGCCTTTGTTTTCTGTTTTTTGTGTCTTTGCCAGATCTCTGCCTTCTTTCAATCCTTGCCCCCATAGATTTAGGTTTGGGATTTGTCTATAGAACCTGTCAATTCTTAGGAAAAAACTGAAACAATCCTTATCAATATATACCTAGGGTTTCGCCGGAGTCTTGATAACCCTTTTAGAGCATCTTCTTTCTGAAACCTAGCCTTCTGATTTTAGGACGACGTTATGGGTATGTGGAGACATAGGGTAGACACCCCGACCAAACTTGAGTACTTTAGGCAAGAGTTTTCTATTCTTGCCGATGTCCATCTAAGGCTAGCTGAAGATAATGACTCTATCATGCCCATAGACGATTCAATGCCCTTTCCTATAGTAGCTTTTACTGAGTGCGAACTCCGGTTCCCACTTAACATTCTCTTTCGCGAAATTCTTCACTTTTACAAATTGAACCCTATGCAACTTGCCATAAACTCTTATCGAGTGATCAATGGCATCATAGCTTTAGCTAGGTAGGAGAACGCTAGGATCACCCTGGCCGACATTCAGTACTGTTATACCATGTGCCCCCTTAACCTGAAGGAAAAAGGCTTCGTTTATTATCTTAAGCTGAGGTCGACAGAATACAAAATCGTAGCCGACCTCCCAGACTCCAACAAGGGGGCTAGAGATGACTATGTTATTGCTTCGGGAAATTGGGAGTTTGGCGCAGACGAGGACGCCCATCTCTACCCTCTTCCCCGATCAATTAAAGAGGGCAAGGGTAAGAGCCCAGTATCAATACTTTAGTTGTCTCTGTTTAAGTCTTCAATATTTTATCTGTTTCTAATGTTTGTTTCATCTTGCAGACGTTCGTAAGTTACCAAAAGACTTTCGCCAATCCTACGTTCCCAGCAAAGACTTAAAGAGGCTCCTAGATTTGCCAATCCAAAAGCACAAGGCTCCACTGGTACTGAATTTTATTCCGACGTACAAGTCGACTTTGCCTGACATTCCCAAACGAAAGAAGAAAAGCCTTTCTCCTCCTACTGCCATAACTCAAACCGCCTCTACATCACGAACAGATCAAGAGTCAACATCTGACCCAACCAATCAACCATCTACCTCGGCCCCATACTTAATCCCAATACCAGAAAGAAAACGTCGGCGACGACTTATCAAAACTGTTGAGATGGGTCGCCCGAAGCCTGTTGCTGTAGATCTCTTAGCCGACCTACCTGCCGACGTTGATGCTGTTCCAACCCAATCCATGCCCCCACCAAAGCAAAAAAGAATCAAAAAGGCCCAAAAGCCAAAAAGAACAAAAAGGGTTCAGCCGAAGGCCAAAGTGACTCAGGTTGAATCTGAGGACGCTTTGCCTATTTCCAAACTGGCTGAGAGTAAGAAGACTTCTTCTGCTCCTGCAAAAAGGTCTGCTGAAAACCCACCCTCTGAGTCCACACAGTCAAAGAAGCCAAGGTCGGCCTCAGCTACTACCTCGGGGTTCAAGAAACCGGATGTCCCTTGGGCTCCCAAAATTACTTTGGAAGACAGGCCAATTATGTCCAGTGAAAACGCCGACGACATAAATGTCGGCGTTGCCCTCAGCACGGCGTTGCTTCTTCCGGGCGACCTCGAGCGAAATGCTGAGTATAGTGAGTACGAGAATTACGCTTTAATGCTCCAGCACTCCGTTCAAGTAAGTGTTCCTGCTTGGAATTTCTACTTTCTTTCTGTTTCATACTTAAAATATTTTCTAACACTTCTGTTTTCTTTCAGGCCATCCAGTATGCCTATTCATTTTCAATGCAAGCTTTTGAAAACAGAGCAAAGTTGGTCGATCTGAAGAGAGAGGTTTCTGCCCTTAAAAAGGAAAACAAATCTCTTCAATTAAAGATGAAAAAACTGGAAGACCAGGCTGAGGCTGCCACCAAAGCCCAAACCCTTGCCGAGGAAAAGGCCGAATCTGCCGAGGCTATTAGAAAGGTCGCTGAGGCCGAGAAGAGAGAGGCCGAGGACAAAAAGGCCCAAGCGGAAAAGGAACTTCAAGATGCTTTATCTACTAAAGACGCTGAAATCAAGGTGGCCGATGAAAAGGCCTATGCTCAAGAAATGGCTGACATTATAGAAGAATACAAACTACAAGTCAGGCAGGCATGCAACAGGGGCTTTTCCCTTGGTTGGATGTCCCTCGCCAAAAAGCTTAACATTCCTGATGATTCACCACTGCGCAAAGCCGACGCTATTCCTCTACCGTTCCCCCCACCTCCTCCATCAAGTCAACCTGAAGGAGAATCTGAATCTGAGTCTGAAGATGCCGATAAGGAAGAGGATGAGGCTTTGGTCAGAAAATCAAAGGATGATAATGGGGCTAAGTCCCCTCCTCAGATTGAGCAAGACGTTGACTTGACTCATGAGGAGGATGAGGATGTTATCAAGGAGACCACTCCTGAGCAAGCATCATCTGATGTTCCTCCAGTTGATAGAAGTCTTGATCAAACACTTGCCGAAATTGATGCCGAGATTGCTGCAGATGAGGAAGCCGAGGTATCTCTTCAGGAGACTTCTGAGGTTCAGATCCAACAAGATGCTGATGTTGAAAAGTCTTAAATTTCATGTTTGTTCTTTTGCACCATTGTACTTTGTTTTGTTTTCTTGGACAATGTAAGCTTCCTTTTATGGCTGATGTGCCTTTCTTTGTTATTTCGAAACAATTTACTTCTAGTAGGCCGTAGCGCCTTCTTTTGTATACAACTGCAACTGTTTTTCTATGGATGCTTCAATCTTTTAATTTCTCTTGATTTGCTTCTGCATGGTCCTATACTTAGAATATTTTGTATGCCTTTCATACTTTGCCTCCTTTGTGCAATCTTCTCGGGGTTACATACCTCGGGTATAATAGCTACAAAACTTTTACTTCGGCAAGATACTGACCTGCAAACTTTTCATAAATTCTAAAAAGTGTGAAACATATACTACTCAATGTTAACTTTGCAAACTTTTTCTCAAGTTATAACAAGTGTTTAAGCAATGATCTACTTGTAAATTGCTACAAATTTCAACAAGTGTTTAAACAATATACTTAGCTTTTACCTCAACCTGCAAATTGCTGCAAATTTCAACAGATGATCGCATGTCGGCTTAACATTATCTTGTAAATTGCTACAAATTTCAACAAGTGTTAAGCATCTTCTTTGGTTGGACCAACCAGTAGAGTGCTATAAGTGTGCAAACTATAACCTCAGCTTCGCTTCGACTTGTAAATTGCTACAAATTTCAACAAGTGAAGAGAAACAATAATCTCGGCTTAATTTCAACTTGTAAATTGTTACAAATTTCAACAAGTGAAGATAAGGAATCAGCTTAACTCCAACTTGTAAATTGCTTACAAATTTCAACAAGTGAATTAAGGAATAATCTCGGCTTAACTTCAACTTGTAAATTGCTACAAATTTCAACAAGTGAAGATAGGGAATCAGCTTAACTCCAACTTGTAAATTGCTTACAAATTTCAACAAGTGAATTAAGGAATAATCTCGGCTTAACTTCGACTTGTAAATTGCTACAAATTTCAACAAGTGAAGATAAGGAATCAGCTTAAGTCCAACTAGTAAATTGCTACAAATTTCAACAAGTGAAGATAAGGAATCAGCTTAACTCCAACTTGTAAATTGCTACAAATTTCAACAAGTGAATTAAGGAATAATCTCGGCTTAACTTCGACTTGTAAATTGCTACAAATTTCAACAAGTGAAGATAAGGAATCAGCTTAACTCCAATTTGTAAATTGGTACAAATTTCAACAAGTGAATTAAGGAATAATCTCTGTCTTCTCTCTGCCCCCCATGTGAACCTGAGTTCTACTTGGGTTCTCATTATTCATGTCTCCAAAAACACCAATATGTAACTTTATCAATCATATGTGTTTTAAAGAAAAGGGAAAAGATTTTATTGATGACATCGGCCAAAAATACTGCACATCTAATGATAGAAGAATTTCAAATTACAAGTGTTCCAAGGTCTTGGCAGTGCTTTGCCCTCGTTATCTTCAAACCGATAAGCTCCATTGCCTAATACCGAAGTAACTCTGTAGGGTCCTTCCCAGTTTGGGCCAAGCTTGCCCTCTCTGGGATCCTTTTTGTTGCCGATGACTTTTCTCAGGACTAGGTCGCCGACTTGAAAATCTCTTGGATTGACCTTCTTGTTGTAAGCTCTGGCAAGCTGTTGCTGGTATACTGCGAGCTGAATTGCAGCTTTCTCTCTTCGTTCTTCCAAAAGATCCAGATCTCGGGCTAAGAGTATGTCATTGGTGCCATTTTCTACTCTCTGGGTCTTGATCCCTGGGATGCCGATCTCCAATGGGATGACAGCTTCTGTGCCATAAGCCATGGCAAAGGGGGACTCCCCTGTTGATCTTTTCGGCGTAGTCCGATATGCCCAAAGCACATTGGGCAACTCGTCTACCCACTTTCCTTTTGCTGCCTGCAGCCTCTTCTTTATTCCATCCAAAATTACTTTGTTGGATGCTTCTGCTTGCCCATTACTTGGGGAAAACTTGGTGTTGAAAAGTAATTCTTGATCTTGAATTTCGCACAAAAGTTCTTGATGAGTTTGCTGTCAAACTGTGTTCCGTTGTCGGCAACTATTGCTCTTAGAATCCCAAATCTGGTGATGATGTTTCTCCATATAAAGTTCTTGACGTCCACATCTCGGATTTTGGCAAGAGGTTCTGCCTCTATCCACTTTGTAAAGTAATCGGTTGCTACCAGCAAGTATTTTTTGCCCAGTTGCCTGGGGAAGTTGCCCAACAAGGTCCATGCCCCATTGGGCAAACGGCCAAGGGCTGGATACTGGGTTCAGGTCAGCAGCTGGCTGATGTATCAAAGGTGCAAACCTTTGGCATTGTTCACACTTCTTCACGTAGGCTTCAGCATCCTTTTGCATGTAGGGCCACCAATACCCCTGGGTAATGGCCCTGCGGGCTAAGATCTGCCCTCAGCGTGGCTTCCACAAATTCCTTCAAGAATTTCATATAGGAAATCTTCAACCTGCAAAGGGTGTACGCACCTTAAAAGGGGTCCAGTGAAGGACCTTCTGTAGAGGTGTCCATCTGCTGTTAAACAGAATCTTGCCGATTTCAATCTGACTTTGTGTGCCTCCTTATGATCTTCTGGCAGCTTTCCTTCTTTCAGGAATGCAACAATTGCATCCATCCAGCTTGGCCCCATGTCCACACACATTGCTTCCTGTTCTGTGCTCTCTGGTTCTATACTTGGGCCCGACATATAGTCGATCGTAATTGTTCTTGTTTTTCCAGTCTGCATTGAACTTGCTAGGTTAGCCAACGCGTTGGCGTGAGTGTTGTCACCTCGGCTTACTTGGAGTAGTCGGCAGTTCTGAAATAGGGCTGCCAATCTGATGACCTCTTTTGCATTTGCCGACATCCTTTCGTCCCTGACTGCAAATTCACCTGTTGACTGGTTAACAATAAGTTGTGAATCACAAAAAACTATTACCTCATCTGCTTTTGCTGCTGCTGCTGCCAGTTTTAGCCTTGCAATTAATGCTTCGTATTCTGCTTCATTGTTTGAGGCCTTGAACCCCAAACGGATGGACTGTTCTATTATTTCTCCATCTGGAGATATCAGCAGTACTCCTGCCCCTACTCCTTGTCGGTTTGAGCTTCCATCGACAAATAGTCTGAAGGAGTCGCCGATGTAGATGCTGTAGGGTTTGAGTTTTTCCTTCCTTTGCTCTTTTGCCCTAGGCTGAGATTCTCCTTGCTTGCTGGGACAATGCTCATCCTGGCTCAACGGAGCCCGATGTTTGATGGTTTTGGGTGTGAATTCTGCCACGAAGTCGGCCAAAACTTGGCCTTTAATTGCTGTTCTCAGCCTGAACTCCAGGTCATACTGGCCCAGGGCTACTGCCCATCTTGTTATCCTTCTTGTTAAGTCTCCTTGTTGCAATAAGGACTTCAGTGGGTGCTCTGTTATGACCACAATCTTGTGCGCCTGAAAGTAATGGTTTAACTTTTTTGAAGCCATTACTAAGGCTAGCATTAATTTCTCCAGTGGTAGATACCTTGTTTCTACATCGGCCAAGGTTTTACTTACGTAATAGACAGCTTTTTGCTCCCCTTTTTCTTCTCGGATTAGTACTGCACTGACTGCGTGTTCTGAAACTGCCAAGTATAAAAACAGTTCTTCCTCTGGTTCTGGATTGGAAAGGACCGGAGTTGTGGTCAAGTACTTCTTCAGGTTAGTTAAAGCGGCTTCGCATTCTTCTGTCCACAGAAAGTCTGTGGCTTTTTTCACCAAGTTAAAGAAGGGTCTACACTTATCTAAGCTTCTGCTGATGAATCTGTTTAGGGCTGCGGCCCTCCTAGTAAGCATCTGAACCTGTTTTGCCGACGTCGGGCTCTTCAGCTGTAGGATGGCCTTGATTTGGTCTGGGCTGGCCTCAATGCCCTTTCTTGTTACCAGATACCCTAAAAACTTACCTGATCCAACTCCAAACGCGCACTTTGATGCGTTGAGTAGGAGCCGGTATGTTTTGAGTATATTAAAGACCTCTTTTAGGTCGGCAAGATGACCCTTAGATTCCTTGGTCTTCACGACCATGTCATCGATGTAGACTTCTACCGTTTTGCCAATCAGGTGCTTGAACATCTTTGTTACTAACCTTTGGTAAATTGCTCTTGCGTTTTTCAACCCAAAAGGCATTACCTTGTAACAGTACAGGCCTTTAGGGGTGATGAACGCGGTCTTCTCCTCGTCTGGAGGGTGCATGGCAATCTGGTGGTACCCCCTGTATGCATCCAAAAAACTCATCCTTTCATGCCCTGATGTAGCATCTACTAGCTGGTCAATCTTGGGCAGAGGAAAGCTGTCTTTTGGGCAGGCTTTGTTGAGACTGGTAAAGTCTACATAGACCCTCCATTTGCCGTTCTTCTTTTTTACCACTACTGTGTTGGATAGCCATGTCGAGTAGTGAACTTCTCGGATGGCCCTGGCCTCCAGAAGTCTGTCTACCTCTTCTTCTACTGCTTCTACGTGCATCAACGTCGGTCTTCTAGCTCGTTAAATTACAGGTTTTGCCGACCTGTCGACATTCAGTCTGTGGCAAGTGACCTCGGGGTCAATTCCAGGCATTTCGTAAGGTGTCCAAGCGAACACCTCAATGTTGGTTCTTAGAAAAGTTTCCAACTCTTTCTCCTCTTCTTCGGCTAGGCCTGAGCCAAGAAGAAAGAACCGTTCTTCATTCCCATCCTGGACGAGGATTTTCTTTAGCGTCTCTTCGCTCTTCTTGGCTGGTTCTTTGCCGACGTCTTCTAGGACTTCTACGTCCTCATCTTCAATTTCTGCCTTCTCTAGTTCTCGTATGCTGCAGGTGGACTTCATTGCTGCCATGGAGCAATTCTTTGCCTGCAGTTGATCTCCTCTGACTTCTTCAATCCCCTGTTCTGTTGGGAACCGTAGCAGTTGATGCGACGTTGAGGGAACTGCCCCCATTGCTTGCAACCATGGCCTTCCCAGGATGATATTGTACGGCGAGGGTGTATTAATCACAATGAATTCCGTCTTGATTTTCTTCGTACCGGCTTGAAC